TTACACCAAAACTAGCAGCAAAATTAAGGCAATTTTAGTTCAGCACTTTTGTCGAACAGTTGGTGTGCACAAAACTAGCAGCAAAATTAAGGCAATTTTAGTTCAGCACTTTTGTCGAACAGTTGGTGTGCACAAATACCTTAAATGATATTTGTGTTGAATGAGTGATTAAAAAAGCCTTAGTACAGTATTTCTATTGTACTTAGTAGTTAAAAAACAGTGTTTCACCAACTCACTCAATCAATACTACAATTTGACAAAATCACTTATTCTAGAATCACTTAATTTTTAAGCTGTAATTGAAAATGCAGAAAATAAAGGAACACAAGATTTGATGAGGCAGTTCCCCCAGTCGTCCTCGCGTTGGGGTACGTCTGCCCTCAATTCTACAATGAGAATTGAGATATGTATTGAATAGATATCACCTGTTTGGTAGAACAGTTATACACAAGAATCGATAGACAATTGATACAAACAATCTTAATGTTGCTGATAATTTCTACCACTTCTTGCCCCTTGATTCAAGATGAATCAAGTCCTCCAATTTGATGTGAATGACCTCCGATTGCAGCCACCTTATTGACAACTCTTCCGTTGATCAAACCTTCGGCACGGCTGATCTTAGACACACCCAAATTGAACCCGGAACGTCTTCAACCTTTCAACGCCCTAGCTACTAGATTGATCAACCTTCCGCTAATCAATCACCTTCGCACTCGCTTGATTGTTGAACCGACGATTCCGTAACAAAAGCCTTCAAAACCTGTAGTCTTGATAGGTAAAACCTCAAAGGTTTTCTCCCAAGAAACACCTGCACCAGCTTCCACTCGAACCGGATCTTCAATCACGCGTTCGAACCTTATCACCGTCGAGCAAACCACAAACCGCAGCAAAAAATTGATTATCTGTAATTTGAGGATTTGTGAGTTGATTGAACGATGAAGATGAAGAACACTGATGCACCTCTTTCACGTTTCTTGACCTGAACACTTTCTCACAATGCTTTCAAAAATGTTCTGTTGTTAAAATTGAAAAGACAGCTATTTATAGTAATATACAAAACGGACAGTTGACAGATCAATGAAACATAGCAGAATTTCTGTTTCTGCGCGCGAACGGTCGACCATAGGGTCGGCGTGCGCTGAGCCGTGTGACACTCAAACTGTCATGCGCCGAGTCAGCGGTCGACGCATGATCTTCATGCGCTGAGCCGTCTGATTCTTAAACCTGCATGCGCCAAGTCAGCGGTCGACGCATGGTTCCATGCGCTGACCCGTGTGAACTGAATGAAACTGTGTGCTGACGGTATGGTTGACTCATAGCTATAAAACCTGCAAAAATTGATATGTTTGTTGTTTCGTGCATCTTGTCACGACCAAACATTAGTCACATATATTGCCAATGAAATATGATGATTTAAAAGGATATAGGAAGGATGTAATATGTTAGGTATTGCATGATGATTCTGATTCATCTGAGGTTGTACTTTGTCATCATCGTAAGTATGCATGACGACTCCGATTCATCTGAGATTGTACTTTGTCATCATCGAAACTTGAGAACGTATGTTGTGAGACAGTTTTCCCTCACACTCACTCATAGTCATGAGACATTTATCGCTGCTCAATGATACTTCACTCAAATCTAGCATATAGACATTATTTACCCCCAAGCCATTAAACACATCCTTCTTTTTATCATTGTGTTCAATTATGCAACAATCTTTTGGAAAATATACTTTGTATCCCTTGTCGCATAATTGACTAATGTTAATGAGATTGTTCTTATGGCCTTCGACTAGCAATACATTAGAGATAGTAGTAGATGAGGGATTACCTACACTACATTTTCCAAGTATTGCTCCCTTGTTATTGTCTCCATAGGCTACAAATCCCTTCTTCTTTGCCACAAAGTCAATAAAGAGAGATATGTCTCCTGTCACATGTTTCGAGCATCCACTATCGAGAACCCATCTTCTCTCAGTAGTCTCAAGACTTTGTACCTGTAAAAACAATCAACGAAAATAGGTATCCAATTGTTTATTGGGTCCTTGGTTGTAAGTGAAATCTTGGTTGCATTTAGGCAACCATTGATAAACCCCTTTAGGAACTAAAAATCTCCTAAAGCGACATTTAGATATGGTGTGACCCCTCTTGCAACAATACAAGCAAGTAAGGTTAACTCTTGTATCACTTTTGCTATCTTGATTTCTGACCACATATGTATATTTTTGATAAGGATTAACCATACTTTTTCTAAAATGTGCTCTATCAATAGCAAACATGATTTTAGGTTCTAAAGCCTTGTTAAGTTTGGCCTTGAGAGTTTTAACCTCATTTTTCCAAATATAACAAGTATCACACCCGAAGTTAACCCGTCGCTTTTTTTCTTCCTCACAATCCACCTTTGTTCCTTCCATTATGGATGCCTTTAGAGCCTCCAATTTTCTTTCAGAATCGAGGATCTTTTGCTCCAAATGAATAAAAATTTGTTTGTTTGAGGTCAGTCGTTTAAAGGCTTCCTTGGCTTCATGGTGTAAGGTATCAAAGGCAGTTTATAATTCGGAATGAGACAATCTAGTAGAGTTTTTGTATTTTACATGTCATACCTTTTTGTTTTTCTTCTTTTGATCAGCGGAGAGACACTACAAGAAAAAAGGAGATTTACGACACTTGAGTTGCGACAGTTATCACAGAACTGTCCTTACTCCTGGATTGCGACGGTTGTCACAACAGTTAGGGTCAACTGTCGTAGATTTTTTGCGACAGTTATAAAAAAATCGTCCTTATTCCTAGACTACGACAGTTCTCACGACGGTTTGAGCCAACCGTCGCAGATTTTTTAGACATGTTGTATAAAATAATTGTGACAGTTATCAAAGAACCGCCCTCTTTCCACACTCGCGACAGTTTCGCGACAGTTAAGGCGAACTGTCGCAATTACTTTACCCAATGATAATCACTATTTTTTTTATTCCTTTGATTTTCCACTTTTTTCTTTCATTTTTATTTTCTAACCTTTTTCAATTTTATTAATTAATTTAATAAATAATTATTATAATTATCATGACAATGTAGCTTAATATTTTTGTCTAAAGTAATAGTAAAATATGTTCTATTTTATTATATAAATAGTTAATTTTTATTAAAATTAATTTTGGTAACAATGTTTATATATATATATATATATATATATATATATATATATATATATATATATATATATATATATATATATATATATATATATATATATATATATATATATATATATATATATATATATATATATATATAATTTTTTAACATTTTACGACTCTTGTGGACCTACCTGCCATAAAAAGAAGTCTGCGACGGTTCAACAACCGTCGCCACCAAATTAATTCGAAAGCCGCGTATACTCATTAGAAAAAAGTTAAAAGAACGCATGTCAAAAGTTAAAAAACCGCGTGACCAAAATTAGAATAGACAAAATCACTTTCTTCTTTTTAGAATCATGTCTTTTTTGCTTTTTTTTTTCATATTTGGAAAAATTGAAACAGCCACCACCACACCACTGCAAAAACCTTAACGCCGCCAGTGACGCCTCATCGGTATCTATTCCACACCACAAGTCCTAAACCAATCTTGCCAGGTTAGTATTCTTAAACTCTAAATCATACTGGGCAAGTATATGGTGTGCCTCTTTCGAGATTACAACTTGCCAACTCTATCATTGTTTTTCATTTCTTCCTTATCTATTCTCAAACAACAATGACAATAACTCTTTCAAATTCGCTCAATATCTTCTTCTTCCATCAAACTCAAACCAAACCCACTTCTTCATTTCTTCATCACCAAACCATTACCTTTTCCCGCAGAAAAACCACTCTAAAAAACGCTTGTTCCGGTTCACAACAAAACCCCCAACAACAACAAAGTCATCGGAAGAAGAAACCGTTTAATACCAATGATACTGATTCCGATGGTGAAAAGCGTTATGACCCTGTTGGGTTTCTCGTCAAACGTGGCATTTCTCATAAAGCATTTTCTCAGTTTCTCCGCAAAAGGCAAGTAATTTGGTTACCGTTTTGTAGAATTTTTGATTGGATTATCTGGGTGTGTTTTGTTTTTGCGCTTCTCTTAGAAAGTTTCATTCTTTAGTAGAAGATGTAATTATTATTATCTGGGTGTGTTATGTTTTGTTTACAGAAGAGTAAGTGTTTTTTTCTAAGAAAATTTCCTACAACAATCTAAAGTGTAGGTTCGGTTGTTTTCTCTGATGTAGAAGTGATTTTGCTTCTACAATTGATTCCTACCAAATCTAGGATTTCTAGCTTTCGAGTTTAGATATGATTTTCACACTGAAATTTTTTGTTCAAATCATATTTACATAAATATATCCAAACATAAATCACTTTACATTTAACTCACTTTTAAACAAAATCAATTCACTCAAAACCAATTTTCGTCACCGCAGAACCAAACAGACATTAATACCTGAATGATGAGACTTATGCTTAAGGTCTGTGAGTCTTCATTTATGGGGTCAATTAATCTTCATGTGGTGTAACTATCACCGAATAGAAAGGTGCAGAGAAACTTATTTGTTTTTAATTTTTTTTGTGCTACCGAATTACACAGCTATGTTAGGAACCTACTTTTATTTTTTGGTGTGTAGGAAATTTGATGCAGGGAACTTAAGATGCTAGTTTTCATTTTTTTCTTTGTAGATATAAAGCGTTGAAAGACCTGAAAGATGAAATTTTGAAACGGCACATGAAATTCAAAGAGATGGCTTCTAGGTTAGTTTTATTACATGGCATTAACTTTAGTGTATCACTGACACTGTGTATTCTGATCATCAGCTATAACCTGCATTTTCCTATCAGGTTTCTTTGAATATTTTAACTATATCAATTCAATCAACCGTAGTTGGACGATAGAAACTACGACATGTTTTATGTTCCGATATGTTTTTGAAATTATGATAATACTCCTCGCTGTTGTAGCTGTGAACGAATGGAGGTCAGTCCAATTTAGTATTTTTTATATGATCAAATATTAATCACAAGCTTGCATAGGGAAAGGTGAAGGAAATTGTATGGAGCAAATTAAAAAGAATGTAACGATACAATTGTATTCACATGCAGCCACAAGGGACAGGATATATTGCCCTTAAGGATGGAAGGAAACTCTACTTAGAGTGTCTTGATTCTGCTATCATGGATACTAACGAATGCCAGCCCCTTCATGTTGATATACTAAGGTTCTATGAAAGCATAAATATGAAACTGGATCAGCAAGTTCCTCTACTGTTAGTTGAAAGACAACGACTGAACGAAGCAAGGGGGTGAGAAGAATGTGAGTGAAACCGCATTTAACTTGTTTGCAATAATATAATTGATAATTTGATTATGGCCAGTTTTTAAGAGGAACTATTTTTGTGAGTTTCATTTTTGTTATTGATAACTTTTGATATGTTAATTACATAATCTATCTACTAAATTTAAGACAAAATGGATACAAACAAATACATTCAGTATTAAAAGCCTAACCTCTGTAATAAGTAATACTTTCCAAGTCAAAATGCTTTAAAATACTAAGATTCTATTTTAACTTGTTCACAATTAAACAAATTGCTTTTCCTTAATCTTATCTTACACATTAATGCTTCCAGTGATACCCTTTAGAATTGTCTTGTATTTGTTTTTCTCTTTCACATTGTTTTGTGTGGCTACCTTTGACACCATTGTTTTCACAGGGTTCTTGGAAGCTACTTGGCAATTTCACACTTTGAACTCTACATCTTCAAACTGCACATCACTTGAGAATGTGATAAAAGAAAAAACTTTGATTTATGATACAATAAAAACCTTGCTCAAAATTTTCAGTACCTTGAGATATACCGGAAGAGGAGGATCTTGGTTGAAAGTTGAATCCTCGACTTGTATATCAATCTCCGGATACCAATTGTGAAGGTATGCTTGAGACATGAACTCCATGCTATGACCAAAGCCATTGCTTCCTGCAATCTGCATGGAACCGACGGAAGGCGGTGACATTGACATGTTATCCTCAATCTCATCTTCTCTATGATTTTCCATGATCAATGATGTTAATGAGAGCAAGGTGTTGAAACTATAATTAAGGGTCTAATAATAAAGTTTATATGTCATGAGTCAACTGTGTACACCAAGAACATTCCTATATAATGGTGGTAGAATTATGGTTGGTTGGCCACATACTTTTCATGGCAAGTTCTTAGGTATGAATGTTGTTTTCACATATCCTTTTAACTCAACCATTGTGATTTGTTATAACAACATATCAAGAACATGAATAAAATTGGCTTGGAAATGGTAAGTAGCTAAACATTTATAAACAAACTTTTCTGATGCTAATTGAACCACTGAAGTAATTAGACCAATTCCATTTTGTGAAGACAACTTCTATGTTGAACAACCTTCAAATCTTTTTGCTAAAATTGGATTTGTTCACTTCATCATATATTGTAGAAGATTTGAAACAGACATTAGGAAATTAGTGCAGCTTAGACATTTTAATAAACATACTGTTGACTTTGCAAAACATCTAAATCTTAAGTTTGATTTATGAACAGCAAAACACAAGCCATCCAAGGGTTAAAAAATGTGTTATAGGTATAATTCATCTTTACAAAATCGTATTATAGGATAAAGATTTCTCTAATTTATAAGCATGTGTATTATTTAATATTAGAAATTTTGATAAGTTAAAAATTTGCCATGTCTCTCGGATTACTGCTTTGTCTGATGTGACTTTAGTATTACAACATGCCTTAATATACTATTAGGTGTTTCTCGATCAGTTTTCTTTTAAGTTTTAAGTAAAGCACAAAATAGTTATTATTCAACCATCAACACTATTTTTTGAAACATGTTTCTTCCGTTTTGTGCTTGTTTAGTTATTGCACATATTTAACATTGTTTGCTTTGCAGAATATGATTACCGGAGCTGCCCAAATGGATGGTGGTATCCTTGTTGTATCTGCACCTGATGGACCAATGCCTCAAACCAAGGAGCACATTCTTCTAGCTCGCCAAGTAGGTATTCTATTGAAGTGGTTTGTAAACAATAGAAGCAAACTTATAGGTCTACCGTTACTTCCTTGCTTCTTGATTAACACTCATTTACTTTTACATGAATTGTGCAGGTTGGTGTGCCATCTCTTGTTTGCTTTTTAAATAAAGTTGATGTTGTTGACGATCCAGAATTGTTAGAGCTTGTAGAAATGGAGCTTCGTGGTGAGTGTTTTTCTAACAACACACCTTCCCTCCCTTTTCCCTGTTAGTATTCATGATAAGAACACACCTTTGCAACTTTCTGTAGTCCTCCTATTTGGTAAATTTTGAAGTGGATTTTTGTTAATTGTGTATCTGGCAGAGCTTCTGAGCTTCTACAAGTTCCATGGGGATGACATCCCTATCATTAGAGGTTCAGCACTGTCTGCTTTAAATGGTACAAATAAAGAGATTGACAGTAAGGCCATTCTAAAATTAATGGATGTTGTAGATGAATACATTCCTGACCCTGTTCGTCAGCTTGATAAGCCTTTCTTGATGCCCGTTGAAGACGTGTTCTCAATTCAGGTAAAAGGGCATGGATTCTTTTTTGCTTTATTACACTTTTTAATAATGACAATTCATTTAAATAAGTACATGCTTGGTTATTGTATTCGTACAATACTTGTTAGTCATGAATTGATATGCCAAAGGGTTTGATATGCCAAGTTGTCTGTGCATCAAGGGAAGTCTTGGAATGAAGTAAGTTTAATTATATACCACTAATCTAACTTATCCTAATCAGATACTGGTTCATAGATCATACAATAGTAAAATATTAGTTTTAAATGAATCTGTTGATAGGATATTACTTTTTTACTAATCATTCTAAATATTTTAATCGATGACAGATGACAGTTACCTGGACAAGTGGATATGACATAGATGAAGCTGTACCCTTTGTGGAATGGGGTCCAAAGGGCGGAAGACAGGTACAATCTGCTGCTGGAACATTGACATTTAATCGTAATAGCATGTGTGGTAAGGATTATTACATAAACAAGTTTATACATGAAAATTTAACAAAAATGAATCCAAACAAATAACAAGGACATTTCTTGACCTATAGGTGAAACAGTGCGAACTGTTGGCTGGCCTGATCCTGTTTTTATACACACGAGTTTCCTTAAAGAACTTTGGCCAAATATGAGGTATCCATTCAAATATTTTTATTGTTCATGTAAGATTGTGTTGGTAGAGTTTGGTCTGAAAGGTTGGCAACCTCCCCTGTTCTCCGCCAGGTACACTTACAGGTTGGGTATTTCTTGTCCGATGGTTCTTATGTATGATAACAAGGTTTTTTTGTGCTTGCAATCATTTTATGACATTGACATTTGAATTGAGTTATACATATTCTTTTAGACTGAAAGGATATCACATTTATTCATATTGCAGTGGAAATCATGAACGTGATTGGCTTAATTAGTAATTCTATATGTATCTTCATTTCGCATCACCTCACTTTTTTTCAGTGTTAACTTTTATGCACAGTAAATAGTTGCTTCTGCTTCTTTTGCTGACATTTCTGCTTTAATTGTGTTGCAGGGTTCCAACTTTGGATGGAACGGTCCTACATTCTGAATTCTATGTTAGTTTGGTTACTCATGGTGCCTTGAATGTTTAATGGAGTCTTCACCTCTTTTCAGATACAATTCACCTCTTTCACAAATCATTCTCATTGGGTTAGTTTGTTTTTGTTGTCCAGGAATGTTCAACGCTCTCTCTGGAATGGGTGGTGGTGGTCAGGTCAACGCTACAGCTCTCTTTCTCGCCGTTCAATTTCAACTCACCGATCTGAAACTCGACCGTCTCTTAGAGCTCTGGTCAAACCACACCATCTAACTCGAAGTGGAGACCGCGGTCGGTTTAATCTTTCTCCTCTTCCTCTTTGCTTTGTACTACGTGAAACGAGCTTCGCCGATATACTTGGTCGATTTTGCCTGCTACAAACCAAAAAATGAACGGAAGATAACAGTGGAATTGTTCGTGGAAATGTTAGAAGATAGCGGCAAATTCGGGGAAGAAACACTTCAATTCCAACACAGAATTTTATCCAGAGCATGTTTAGGCGACGAAACGTGTTTACCAAAGGGAATAACTTCCCGTCCGCCAAATCTATCTACGGAAGAAGCGCGTCAAGAAGCAGAAGCAGTAATGTTTGGAGCATTAGATGCGCTTTTTGCTACAATAGGTGTTAATTCAAGAGATATTGATATTCTTGTGGTAACAATTACTAATAAAAATTAAAAACCTGAGAGAGAAATCATTTGCGAATTTACAATTTGATGTGACTTTTTCTGCGAAACTTCCAATTACCTGCGGCGTTTTCTGCGACAGCTTTAAACCGTCACAATCAACAATGGTAACAAAAATCAAAAGTATATTCACGACAGTATTTAACTGTTGTCATTTCCAAATTATGTCAGTTTCAACCAGTCGTGAAATAGAGTTCACGACAGTTTTAAACTGTCACAATCAACAATAAAAACAAAAATCAAAAGGCTAGTAACGACGGTCTTTAACCGTCGCCATCTCCAGTTTAGGTCAGTTCCATCCCGTCGTGAAATATAACGACGGTTGGTGTGACAGTTTTGGCAACCGTTGCTAAACAGCCTGGGGACACACGTTTCTGCGACGGTACTACAACCGTCGTAGAATATAATTGATGGTGGTTTTAACCGTCGTAATCTGCCAAAATAACTGTCGTAATCCATCGTTTTTCTTGTAGTGAGACAAAGATTGACGAATTCTTCTTCGTCACTTGAACTATCATCCTCGGATGACTCGCTATCGCTTTCCCATGCGATGTAAGCTCTTCTAGGCTTAACTTGCTTCTTATGTGATTGATTACTCTCCTTTCCTTTGCCCTTTTTCATCAAACGACAATCCGGATTGTAATGTCCGGCTTTTTTGCAATTGAAACACGACCCTCTAACTCTACTTCCTTTGTTGTCTTCATTCTTAGAAGACCTTGATTGTTTTCTGAAATTGACTAGATTCTTTTCAGAATGTTGTCGCATCGCTATGAAGAGGGGCCGGCAAAGACAGGAGAGTCGCCACCGTTCGTTATTTATCCCAAAGAGAGGGAAAGGAAACGATCGAAGAAAACCTGACAAAAAGGGGAAAGACAAGGTCATTGCAACCAAATCTTGGGTTCGGGAGTCAGTTACACAAGGGGAAGGTATGAGCACCCCTCACGTCCGTTGTACTCAATGGGATCCATGCTTGTTGTCTATCTAAAAGGGTTTTAATCT